TAACTCTGTAAACCACTTAGAGAGGGCTGAAAGCCCTATGAAGCGGGATATAAGTCTAACTGCTATTGCTATATTTTTATAGATATTCTATTGCTTACTTAGCCTTCTGACTTGGATATGACTTAAGTAAGTATAATCTTTATTGTCATTGTACTTAAATACAACAAAATTGGTTTTAACCTCACTGGTGCAAAATTATAACAGAAACGAAAAAAGAAAGAAAGAAAAAGATTGTAACATTTCCTGCTAAAACCCTATTTTCATAGATTTTGCTCTTATGTCTTTGTTTTGTTGGTTGTTGCCTTCAATTCATAGTTGAGTCCTGGCGACTGCCTGGACAAGAATTTTTGGCAGGTGATTTGCCTGCTTTCTAGGGCTTAGAGAAAGTTTCTGGCTCAAAGTTACCTAGCTTGCTTTGTGCCGAAGCGGGACTAGAACTCTGTCTCCCAGTTTTAAATCCAATGCCTAAATTACTACACCAAACTAGCTCTCCTTATATCCTATTCATATGTGGAAGTGGTGGAGACTGTATTTGGACGCAGCCTGAAGAAGAAATGTGTGTGGGGGAAACCACAAACATTCAAGTTAAGTTATGCCAACACTATAACAATACAAGACCAAGCATCTACTATATTTCAAAGATGACAGTATGAAAGTAATGAAAAATAACATGAGGCCTATTTTCATACACATCCACCCTCTTCTAGGTATTATCTAATTTTACTCATTACGGTACTATATCCAATAGTAACAGTGTTCTCCTTTTTTCTGTTTGAAAGTTCATTAGTCTCAGCCATCCACTTAATATTTGGTTTTGTTCTATAAATCAAGCAAGGAACCAAATTCTTTTATAAAATCTATTTAGTAGATGATTTCATAACACAGCATTATTTTGACAAAGGGCCATAGGCCAGGACATTTTCAATCCATCTGAGAAACTGATCTTCTTCAAAATAGCCTTGATAATTTCATGAAAGAAAAAAAAATAGTTTAAGGGCAAAGCAGTGTGACTATCGTCAAAAGTTCCTTCAGCTGGAAATCATCTAATAGTGTTCATGAGTTAATAAACCATCATTAAATTACTGATTATCATTTTGGAAATTATGAAAGCTGGCCAGTCAACAGCATGACAGATTTTAGACACTGTCCCTTTTCCTATAAGACCCACTGGTGGGCTTCTGCAGGAGGTTGCAGCTTTCATCAGAATGACAAAAGCAGCAGTACATTTGTTGTACAAGGGCCACCTGCTTTGTATGTGCATAAAATGTCATATCACAATGCACATGAAAAAAGGCAGGTTTTGTGTCGCAATGCCACCAGGCTGCTTTTGTCATTCTGTCCCCTCTGTGGCTATGTGCTTCCAGTTATTGTAAGTGGAGGTAAGGCTTCAAACACACGAGTAAGAAAAATTGTGCAATTGTTTTCAGATTTTGTCTCCTTCAGTTGATCAGCCCCACAAGATTATAACATGTTACAGAAAAAGCTTGGAAATATAAACCTCTGGTCTTGGTGACCGACCCAGATTGGATCCTGCATTACATCATACCATGTGCTATGTAGAGCTTATGCTGGGCCATCATAATTATAAGCAAAGAGCAAATGTTTTGGAGGACTCAAAACTGCCATTCACAAAAAGAGCAGCATCTTATAAATTATCAAGTATTTCCAAGGAATAATCATAAAAAAAACCAGAAAAATCCATCTGTAATTCATTTTTCTTTGTTTGCCTCTTTCGTAGAAGCATCTCAAGACATCAGGGGAAAGTATAACTTAAATTTAAACAGACTATCCATCATCCCCTTGAGCCCCTCTCAGCCAGTATCAGAAGTGGCTGAAAGGAAGATCATCCACCAGATTGTTCATGTCATGCTCTACAGAAGAGCTCTGCTTGCCAAGAATAATTAGGTCTGACTAAATCTACCTTTCACTTCATTAGGAATCTTAATTGCTCAGTTGCTAGGTGAAAAACTAACTTCTTCTGACATGCCATCAGTCCTACTAATAAAACCTAAAGTGTAACAAAAATATTAATGTTCTCAGGCCATCCAGGTCTAGCCCAGGCTGTGTACAAAATATTAAGTTACATTGGCCCTCAGATCTAAAACACATATTTCTTATTTTCCAAGGATTGTATTCCAATTTATTTTCAAGGACACATGGAAGATTTATTTTTAATGTGCTGTGGCATTCAAATCAAAGAAAAATATTTGCATTTTAAAATAACCTGTAAGATCACCTAATTTCATTAAAATGAGCTATGTTTGCTGTTTAATGCAAAAGTCATAAGCGGGCCTTGATTTAATATTATCTGCCATTGATAACAAGAAAACTAAAATTGTTAGGACACACTGTAGAAAACAAAAGAAAGGCAAGCAACCATGCAATTATGTAAAAAAATGCATTATGCCATGTTTGTTTTTGCAAAAAAAAAACCCAAAATGGAAATTTTTATTGTTAACCCTTTTTTATTGCAGGCCTTATGAATTCAAGCACTTTGACTTTGTTGCAAACTCTTAATTCTGTAAGGAAAGTCACTGTTGTTTCTATTATCAATATGCTTTGTAGCAAAAATACCCCTCCCTTTTTAAAGTCAAAGCCATTACTTTTGAACAGAGGTACCAATTCTTTTTAGGATGGGGTGCGTGCGTAGGTTTTTTTTTCTTTTTGAATGAGTATTTTAAAATTGTGGCCTTGTTTTATTCCAGAAAGTACTATAGGCCTGGTTTTAATGCTCTGAAAACTGAACACGTGTTGGCTGCAGTAAAGTGCAGGTCTGGTCTTTATTACGATGAGGGTTGCACCGAGTGAGATTTTTTTTGTGTGTGAATCGCGTTCCCCCCCTCCCCAAACCTCTCTTTCCATGTTCCAATTCCCGGGCAGGTAACATTCACATCTCGGCAACAAACTGAACCTTCCCGATTCTCCCCCCTTCCTCCATTTTCGCTAACTAATGAGGAACAGCGTTAATATTTTCGTGGCTGGGAGAAACGGCTTCTTCAAAAAAAAAAAAAAAAAAAAGCCCTAATCCTTCTGCAATATTAAATATCGGTTTGAGGCCCTGGAGCTTCATTAAGGTTGCTATTGTTACTGTGTCCTACGCACTTCATTTCTCACGAAGCTCGGCGTTTTCTTTCCCACCAGCTTCCTCTCCCCCCCCCCCTCTCCCCAAAAGCGAGACTGGGAGCAAGATTTGGTTTGGGGTTTTTGTTTTTTATTTACACCCGCGAAGGAAGCCCGAAGAAATGGAATCCTTTATTGGCAACATCGCAAGACCCGCGCAGGCACCAGCAGCTGCGCTCTTGGCAAACAAAAAGGGGAAAGAAAAAGGCGCCCTTTGCTGCCGCTGCTTCTTACCTCCTC